AGAGAGAGAGAGAGAGAGAGAGAGAGAGAGAGAGAGAGAGAGAGAGACGCAACCTCCAGTCCCTGCAGTCACAAGCGAGCGAAGAAGCAGCAGCAGCAGAATAGAGCACTGAAGGCAGCCCGAGTCTCCTCTATACGCACGGGATCTCACACACATACACACACACACACACACACACACACACACGCACACACGCACCTGAGGGCCGCAGAGGATTACAAACCACGAGGAATAGTCTGACAGCCCGGGACCAACTTGTTTGTTAACATGAATATATATGTATAAATATAGGGGAACAAAATCCTGCAGCGCTTTTCCAAAAAAAAAAAAACTTCAACGCACAGCTCCGCTTCTGCAAGTGCACTTAGACTTTGCGTAGCCTTCATTCAGTAATCACTGATACTTGAGCCAGTTATGGACTTTTTTTTGACGAGGAGTGTGCTCGCTGCGCATGCATGAGCCCCTCTCTGACCGTTTTTTTCTTCTTCTTCTTTTTGTGTTGTGGATTTCGGTGAAATATTTGGACTTGAGTTTTTGACTTGCAACGAGGTCGGCTGGACTTCGCAGCCCTGGTGAGAATTTACTGGAAGAGCCTTTTTTTGAACCTCCATCCAACATGCGACCTATCGCATCCAAACTCAGCTATCTGTGAGTGCCTCTATCCTCCCCTGCACCTTCATCTCTTTACACACGGCTCCTCCGCGCAGCTCCCAAACTAACTTAACTTGTCTTCTCCTTCTTTGCAGGTGTCTACACTTGTTTGCATTCTGCTACCACGCTGAGGTATGTCACTTCCTTACATTTCTTTGTCATTATTTTATTGTTTTATTTTATATTGAGCGTTAAAATGCGGATTATATCACGTGGGGATCTAAGAAAAACACATATGGTGATCGAAGCGCGCGACGCACGGCGCAGGGGTAAAAGGGTGAGGGGTTCATCGCAACATTATGTGATAACAACGATATCAGATGGCTGCTGGGGAGGGCGCGCGACCCGCTTGGCATGGTTTGCTGATTAACACACACCGGGCCTGGCACGGGACGCGGTGGCACAGACGAGAGGCAGAGGGGAAACACTTGGGGGGGGGGGGGGGGTCATTGGGTTCAAAAGTAAGCACGGGGATCCAGTGTTTTCAGTCAGCAGCGAGTCATTCCATCACTGACAGGGAGATCCAAACTCAGATGTATGAAGTTAAAAGTGGCCCCGCGCGCTGCGGCGCGCATTCTCTCCTCATGCGCACAACCTGTAATCACACCGAGCGTCTGTTTTGGAAGCCGTTAATTTAATTTTGGCAGCAGCGCTCCTGGAAGTTGTTACACTTGTCACTCGGGGGAGGTAAACAACAACAAGCTGTTTTTGCGTTAGGATATCTCTCCTCTCTGTGATTCCCTACAGTAACCCGAACCCGATTTTATTTTTAATATCAGTAAAATACATAAATAATACTAAAAAAACTAAAAAGACGAATGAACACATACTGATGATTGTGGTGACATCTAATTTCTGACAGGTAACCAATCAGTCCCCGCCTAATTTCACGCAGCATGTAAGCGAGCAGAGCAAAGTGACGGACCGCGTGAGCCGCAGGTTGATCCGGGTCTACCAGCTGTACAGCCGGACCAGCGGAAAGCATGTGCAGGTCCTGCCCAACAAGAAGATCAACGCCATGGCCGACGACGGGGACGTGCACGGTAAGAGAAAAACACCCTGAATATCAGACACAAGCTTCCTTTCTGTGGTGCCCAACGGCGACAAATATCCTCCTCTATAACCCGCCGAGTTCTTTTAAATATTAAAGTGGATCCCTTAGATTCTTTTTTTTATAGATTCAAATAATTACATTTTCTATATTTTTTCTATATATGTTCAGCCCAAATGCAATGAATTATCTGGATACATGTCATGTTTATTTTCCATTTACGCCATATACATCTTTAATTGTCCATAGTAGGCTACTCCTGCAATTTAAATTCGGGTTAGATTAAATGTCGCCATGCATTTTTTTTTAATCTCCCCTCATCACATTTCATCTCCGCTGGCCTGCACATGTATATTGTTTTACAATTCCGTTTTTATTTAAAGATATTTAAAAAAAATCTTATTATTCTACTTTTTTGTTTTTTTTAAGTCACCAGTATTAATTTCGATTTTGCTCTGTGATTGAAATTATTCCCAGAATTATTTTTTTCTGACTTGGCTTGAGGCCAATATTCTACATGAAACTTGTGCAGAAGGGCTGAAGCATTAAAAACAAATCTGAGATGTGAAAATGAGATGAAATAACTAAATCTTTGTTGCATATTTAATTTGTATTTCTTTCATAAACAAGTGTGAATCGGGATAAACAAGGAGAGAAGGGATTAGAATTGGTTCCCATTCATGCAGTCTATTTCCGTCTGGTTTCAAAACGCCAAAGTTGATCCCCTCCCTTATCATCCGCATTATGTGAAGCCTCTACCTTTAAATAAAACAGTTCACTGACTGTCTTTGTGATCGAAAGTTTCTGTTAACTCCGAGCTCACAGAAACCGTCCGCCGGATTGTAGGCACTGCTTAAGGTGATCCTCCAGAGATCCCACCCGGTCTGGAAGAGCCATTAGAAGGCATCTCAGTTCTCTACCTTCCGAACATTTCCTGCCCCCCCACCCCCCCTCACACACACACACACACACTCCAACCCTCCACCTCCAACCCCATTCCGTCCGGTCTGAACCAAACTGGGCCTCGCTGAGCTTTGCAGCCGCTTCAGCCTACACTTTTTTTGTTACAGTTCACTAGAATACCTATATTCAAAACGATGCATTTGCTGCACTGGGGAATCAAATTGTAGTCGTTGCGATCATGTCACGTTGTGCGTCCTCAAAAGGAGAACGTGAGCTATTCATGTCACCTGGAGGAATTCAACGAGAGAAAAAGTGCGTAACGGGAAAGAAAGCCTCCCACGTCTGTCTTTGACTCAGACTCGGCTCGGCTGAAGCTGCCAGTTCTAGCCACAGCTGTAATTCTCGGACGTCGTGTAGTTAGTCAGTGGGTGGACGACCCCAGTGACCCTGGAGGTTGATGCCATGGACACACTTTTATACGAGGCGGCGTGGGTTAGAAAAGGTATCTTAATGTTTCTGGAGAAACATCGACGACAATGTAACATCGCTGCATCTGTCAAAAGTTATGATTTCTTGCTGAAAAGCAACGATAAAACAAAAAAACTTTTCACAAAGTCCTTGCTCTGTGAACCGTCCGCATGTCTTTCAGTATGTCTCGAGGAAATATAAATATGAAGCTTTACGTGTGAGGTCAACGCAGATTTATTCGAAGAGGAATTCTCAATGGGCCTGCCAGGGTCGCTCCTCTTTAGCTTTCAAAGAATCAGGAGACAGGTGGTTTTATCATTCTGCAAGAACTTCAGCTCGCACAAAATCCCCAGGAACAGTCCCACGGGTTCTGGTGTGTGTGTGTAAGCAGAGAGAGTATGCATGCTTGGAAACGCACTGAAGCATTTCTGTGTGTGTTGCATGCTTTTATGTCCAGCGTGTGCACGCTGTTGAGCCATTCATTCAGATTTTTAATGTTTTATAGAATATCAGGAAAAGGGGCACGTCAACCCTTTTTTACAGAGCGTCCTGCTCTCGGCTCGGGTTGCTAACAAAATTCTTCTTTTTGTTTCGATCCCTTTAGCTAAACTCATCGTGGAGACGGACACATTCGGGAGCCGAGTGCGCATCAAGGGAGCCGAGACGGGCTTCTACATCTGCATGAACAAGAGGGGGAAGCTCATCGGCAAGGTGAGAAGAAAAGTCGATCTCGAGCAGCAGAAGGCAAGAGTTCTCTCGGGTGGACTTCTGTTTTGTAAAAAGGCAAACTGTTGAGAGCGGAGAATTCAAAATCGTCCATTAGTCTTTGGTGTGTCATTAGCTCCGGTGCTCCATGCCATAACCTTGGAATATATTTTGGGAGAAGTGTTTTTAAAGATTGACGTCGACAGTAGGAGCCACAGACAGGTCGGAAAGTATAGAGACAGAGACATAGTTTTATATGGGATTTGTTGACGATAAGATTATTCAAAAATAATTCCAACCTTCAGACCATATCTTCAAAACCACTGGGGGCATTGCTTTTGTTTAGACTCACAACTTTTAAGGTGCTACACGCAAAAGTTAGATCGAATCTATTGCCTCCAAGCAGCTGAGCCGACGGCTTGCAGCTAACGGCGCTAACAGTGCAAACGACGGCAACGGTGCCGACGGAGCTTTTACCTGGGGGTGGGCGGTACGCTTCCGCGGACGACGACAAGCCTCCATTATATGTTCCGCAAAAAGCTCCTCGCACGGACATGAGATGGCGCGGAATTGTGACGAGCAAACGTTTTTGATCTTTTATACTCCGTGTGGGTTCATCCTCTTGCGTCGAAACTGACATTCTCAATGGTCCTAGAAAATGAACCTTTCAGAAAAGATGACGTGCAAGATTATGTATGGTGATTTCCTCTAGTTTAATGATAGTTATATATATATAAGCATGCGCTTTTTGGTTAGGGTTTAGTTTAGTACCGGATGTGTATTCGTTGCTGTCATGTGAGTGTGTAGGTGTGTCTGTTTGAGGCTCGAGCTATCTCACTGTGACGGCTAATAAACAGAGCTGCCAGCACCCCCCTCACCCCCATCCCCCACCCTCCCACACCCCCCCCCCCCCACACACACACACACACACTCACATACATACACACACACACACTATAACCCCTCCACCCACCCAGCACCCTGCCTCGCACACCATCTGCCCCGAGCTACCGGCCCAGTCACAGCCTGTCCTGGCCCCAGTAGTGTGTGTGTGTTTGTGTGTGTGAATCGAAGAAAGAGAGAGAGGGAGAGAGAATGAACACAGAGTGTCTTTTTCGACTATTTTTGACACACGGCTCGTTACAGTAGGCCGGCACTGCCCGTCCAAGTCAAGAGCTGTTTCAGCTGACCCTTACTGTACCTTTGACACTTGCCAACCGGAACTCACTTTCCCCCCTCCTAGCTGTTTTTGTTTGGGCGTCTCGTCCACCACGAGCTGCACATTGGCGTCTTGTGTGGGGCCCATAACTGAACACATGAAGTGGGCCCTGGAGGAAGGTGTGTCGGGATCCATCGATTGTCATTCAATTTCAAGCAGACCCGCTCGGTTAAGTTTAAACCACAAATGCAACAAGAGATCAAACCGGAGGGGGTGAAAGTGACACTTTTCGGGGGGGCTTTATGGCTGGAGGATCCAGCTACTGACCCGCAAAGGGCCGCTGGATGTTTGCTGGAGGGGGAAGAAGAGTCATCACTTACTGTCATCCCCCCTCTCTCTGATCTGTAATGACTGTAGCATATGCCGCATGCACAAGGGGGGAGGGCTGTGTGTGTGTTTGTGTGTGTGTGTGTGTGTGTGTGTGTGTGTGTGTGTGTGTGTGTGT